CCTAAACCAGGTCATCATTGCAGTTTCCAGTGCAAACCAGGAGCCCAGTGAACGATATTTAGGGATTTAATCCTAGCTAACTTTTTAACCTTCTTGTATTAGAATTGCACTTTCTTCATTCCCAGTCACTGACTGTGACACTTGCTTTTTTAATTGGAAGACTGAGAGTTCAAGTCCCACTATCTAGATATGGACAGTTAACCATGGCAGGGTTAAGGCATTGGCTTCATAAAAATTGGGAAAACACTGGCATAAATTGGAATTATGTTCTTTGCACAGAAGGAGGGATAGATATTGGTTTTTGCTGCATTGAGAAATCACTGCACAACCACAAGTGCTTTTTTTCAGCTGTGACATTAAATCAAGGCCCGTTCTGTGCTATCAAGTCCCAGGATAGTATTTGAAGTTTTCCCTGGTATCCCAACCAAGATCTAACCTTCCTTATCATCAGTAAAATGGATGATTATTTTGTCAGGATCTTACAGTGGAAAATTTAGTTGCTGGATTCCTGCACAGTTGCTACATTTTAAAACCTATTACACGGGCCACAAAATGCTTTGGACTGCCTGCGATTGAAAGCTTCTGTGTAAATGCAAGTTCTTTCTTTCAAACAGTGAAAGCAGCATTTTGAGAAACCTTCCCCCAGATTAAAAAGTAGTCACCTTCTCTGGCAGGGCTACCTGATAGAATAGGCATCATGCTTTTAAGTGTTCTACAAAGAATTTTTTTTAAAAAGGCACGTTGATGTTCCAATGTTTTGACTAAGAAAGCCTACTACCCTTACCTAACGAGGCTATATTGGACTCCAGCTCCACACCAATGTGGTTGGCTGGTCACTTTAATATGTCACTAGTAGAAGTTTAAATTAAAATTGTTCTTTTTTCTCACCACAGTTTGTACCTACCTAATGAGAAATAACCAGTGTAATTTTGCAATCAAGATAATTGTTCAGGCTGTCTGTGAGAAATCAGGCAAGACTAGCATGTATGGGCAGAGAGGCTGACTGGAGACAAGTTGGAAAATATTTCACAAAATACTGGAATTCAGCATAGACTCAAATGGCCAATTGCCTGCCTGCCTTTACTGTATTTATTTGACTGCGAGATAAGTGGATGTCATGCATTCATCTGGTGTCCTGAACTACTTCTAGAGGCTGTTGTTATCTTGATTGGGAGTGAGCTCTTGTTGCTGAGTCTTTTTGGTTTTATTATTCCTTGTGTACGAAATTCCCTATTAACCTTCAGGTAACTTAAGTCGTGTCACTCAATGATGTATCAATTTTTCTATAATCTGTTTGCCCTACTGCACTTCAGATTTCACTTGCTTATGAGCCTATCAAGGAATCCTTTTACTGAAGATTGAAGATGCCCACTTAACTGTCTCAGCTGCCAAGTGTTGGCCTGCTTTCTTGTTCTAATTTATGCAGTTGCTTTAAACACTGGAGTTTACACACATGCTGTTGTTTTAATGAAAGATCAGGACTTTATTAAGCTAGGTCTGTTATCATAGTTCACATATAGGTGTTTGAGTACCTCATATTGTGCAGTTTCAGTTTGAGAGCAAAATATAGTGTTACTTTCACTTAGACCAGTACTATTTTCAGCTTCTGTATTTCGTACTACCAATAGAGTCATACATCACAGAAACAGACCCTTCAGTCCAACCGGTCCATGCCAAACATAATCCCAAACTAAACTAGTCCCACCTGCTTGCTCCTGGCCCATATCCCTCCAAACCTTTCTTATTCATGTACTTATCTAAGTGTCTTTTAAATGTTGCAACTGTGTACACATCCACTTCCTCAGGAAGTTCATTTCACACTCAAACCACTTCCATGTCTTTTTTTTTTAAAATCTCTCTCCTTTCACCTTGTATCAAAATGCATAAAATTTACAACAAAATAATAGCATACAATGTGCCAGTGTGCTTAGTCCTCCTGTTGTTTTATTGCCATGGTTATATTGATCTCCCAACATTTTATTACCATAAACATGAGCAACTGAACTGACATATTTCATATAGTTCTGAACAATCATTATAGCTGGCTGGAACCGTTAGCTTTTTTCTGTCCACAGATGCTGCCAGACCTGTTGAGTTTCTCCAGCACTTCCTGTTCATATTTCAGATTTCCAGCATATACAGAACTTTAGTTTTATGTTAACGTAGTCCACAGATCTGGCTGTATGACTTTTAAACATTCACCTTTCCCTTTTCTGAGAAAATATCCTCACCTTAAGTCCATTTGCACAATGTGCCCCAAGCTCAGAAGAAAATAGATTTTACTCATCGCATGTTGATCCCATAGACCACTGTGGTACGCAGTGTGAACTCTCAACTCCATACTGAGCAGGCCTGCATTAATAAGCTCATTCGTGTCTTCCGTCTCATATTCACAGCCATCAGAGAGTTATCACCTTCTCAGTTAGCCCCAGAGAGGGTTTATTCTTGATGCCCAAGATCGTCGTCGTTTCATGAAGACCTTAGATTCAGTGAAATCTAAGAAAGGTGCCAATATCTTTGTGGTACTTTTAAAAAAGATTTTGGGCGCTTGTTTATTTTCTCTCCATAGACATGTCTTCCTGGAATATTTATGTAAATTTTAGAATATGCTGTATGTAAACAGCTAATTATGGGGAATTGCACATGTAAACAGTCTGTCACAGTATACCATATTATCATCGGTCAAGCCCAGTATTGTTTATCGTGATCAATAGTTTGGTTCTCGGCTCTTTAGTATTGAACTGTTACAGTTGGTCCTTGGTATCTTTAAACAAACATAGCATTGAGGGTTATGGGACCATTTATAGTACATTATGATTGAATCAGACTCTCAGTAATTAGGTTATTGCTGTTCAGTTGTCCTTCCATCTGTATCATTAAACTGGTTTCTTTGGAAAAACATTTGGCTCCAACCATTGTAATTCGTGCAGAAGATGCCTCTGAAGCTGAAGTGCTAAGACTTTGTTAGGCAAGATTACACTGAAATTTGATTGCAAAGATCTGCAATCTGGAGACTGTTCTTCTTAATAAGTTAAACTATTAAAAACACTTTATAAAATGAGCAAATGTACAAATACTTGGGTAGGTATCTCTGAAAACAAACAAACAAACAACCAAATGGACGAGATAATAAGAACTGCCGATGCTGGAGTCAGAGATAACACAGTATGGAGCTGGAGGAACACAGCAGGCCCTGTCAGCATTAGAGGAGCAGGAAAGCAGGACCCACCCGAAATGGCAACTTACCTGTTCCTCTGATGCTATCTGGCCTACTGTGTTCCTCTAGCTCCACACTTTAAACAAACAAGTGGAACAATTTTACTTCTACAGTTCCATGTGTTATTGGATTGGCCTTATCAGCATGCTCAAATGGCCTGCTCAAGCCATTTATTTATTGTGTAAGTTTGGTACTGATATAGAGAGCGTCAGAGCCATCCTGCAGGATAATAGCTCTCCTGATCGGATCACTTCTCACCATAGAACATGCAAACTCATGAACGTCTCTAAGGCCGTCGCCTGTAGTCCTGAAAGTGCCAAGTCTACCTCGGATAATGCTGGAAAGAGGAGGTATTTCAAATGTTTTGAGCAACCATGAAGCTAGCTATTTCATGTTACTACAGTGCAGTAGCAACACAAGTAGTGTTCATCACTAACCGGGGTCTGTTAAAAGGACATGCTGCTTGTCTCACAAATGAGAAATTTATAAGAATTTCAGTGCCATCTGTCTCGGAGGATGCCTGGTGGGTGGTATGATTGAGCCTACCCCTTTGGCTGTTCGCACTAGGTAAGGTAATGAATGGACCCAACCAGCCTGCACTTGCAAAACTCAAAATACAGTGTCCAACGTGAAATGTGATTCTGCAATTGGGCAACCTTTGCTAAATAATCCTGATTGTAAAGAGATATGCTGAAAACTGTTCAGAATTGTCATTGGGGCCCCAAATGTGGCATACTTGTACTGACTGGAAATTATGTACATTAATACATTGGGCCCTGTTCTTTGAAGATGAAAGAGCATATGGACACAATGCACTTGTTTAAACTCGAACATAGCTGACAGCCATTCACTGGTTCATTTCTAATTGAAGAAATAGCAATAATTTAATTCAAGATGTCCTCGTCCGTAGTTACTCCGTAAGGCAGCCACTTTTCTGCATCTATGCATCAACGATTACTTGTTTCAGTGGAGACATTTGTAACATTCAGCAATGGTGGGACGTAAGTAAGACATGTTCCTTTGAAATAGTAGGATGAATAGCCAAGGTGTTTTCCCCAGGGGCTGGGGAAGTGGGGGGTGGGGGTGTGAGTTCAAAATTAGAGGGCATAGGATAAAGGTGAGAGGGGAAAGATTTAAAAGGGACCTAAAGGGCAACTTTTTCACGCAGAGGGTGGTGTGTGTATGGGATGAGGTGGCGGAGGCTGGTTCAATTACAACATTTAAAAGGCATCTGGATGGGTATATGAATAGCAAGGATTTAGAGGGTATGGGCCAAATGCTGGCAAATGGGACTAGTTCAGTTTGGGATACCTGGTCTACATGGACAAATTAGTCCGAAGGGTCTGTTTCCGTGCTGTATAGCTCTATGACTCTATAACAGAAAGAAAAATTTGAATAGGATGTATAATGGTCAACCAGTCAAGTATTACTTACTTTATGCTGTAACCCAAAATAAGATTTACTCTCAATATAGGAATCACAGTCCCAATTCAGAAGCAGTTAGTTAATTTCTCATGGTTTTACAGAGTAATTGACAGTTTCCTTTCCGAAGTTGACAATGAGGGGAGTTTGGGTATTTCGGATATGGACACAATGCTGTCAATCTATAGGTGCTTTATGTACTGTTTCTGCCCATCTTGCTGTTGGACTGGGGATGATTTATTAATTCTGCAAGTGAATAGTCTGCTAAATGTGAATCTGATTGCAGTCTAAAATGAATTTTAACTACTTCGAGCCATTGAACCCTTTTTTTTCTCTCTTTCTTTCTTCCTTTTACCAACAGGGGAATTACTGACCCAGCCCAGACCAGAAGGAGTAACTGAGATCGTCTGTCCCAAAAATGGGAGCGAGCGAGTGGATGTGGCTTTGGTTTATCCTCCGACCCCCACTGTGATCAGTCCCTGCTGTAAGTGAGCAGTGGGCCATCCTGCTAGTCTTCATCAGAAACAAAACCTTTAAAATTCTGTTCAATTATTTGGCAGGCAACAAGGTTTTGGAAAGAATAAGGTAGGGTCTGTATGCTTAAAATGATAGTTTTGTACAGTGCTCTCCAATCACCCACAAAGGTGCAGTGTAACAGCCCCTTCTATCTAGAGACTAAACCAGAAACAAAATGGAGTTGTGTTTTTGTTTGAGTAGATATTTCAGTCAAAACACAATCCAATGATTTGATTGTTCAGGTAACAGCTACCAAATGAATTTGAAAACAAAAAGAACAACAAATAAAAGCTGATCTGGTAAAGCTACCCTACAATGCAAGCACCACCAAAACCCTCTTGCCATGTACAAAAATAAGCATTGGCGTTTATTTTTCACTTCAAAGAATTCATCTCTACTTGGAGCTGTCAGTTAAAGTGTGGAATGGCAGGCATTCCACTGTACTAATGGAAGATTGTGAAATCAGTCATGCGACACTAATCCAGTAACTGCAACTCTTCCCTGTGTCAACAGAAGGAGTGAAGTAGCAAGCGATTTTTTAAAATATGATCCAGGCATTTTTTCAAATATTTAAAAGGAGAAGCTTTATATATCTTGATACTTTTGACAGGTTCTATTGGTAGGTCTATTGACAGTTCCAATGACCATAATGCATTTTTGCACTTTGTGCACATATTCCATATCTAATTTTAACAAATGCTTAGGGCACCTTACCTCTCCCAAAGGTATTCAAGGACCATATCCAAAGGGATACCTACCTCTCCAAAAGGGTGCCTTGACTATTCAAAAGAATCTACAAAGATCAGACCTGATCCTGTCAGGTACAAATCACACAGATCACATTTCTCACACCAGGATCACTAAAATCAGATGTAAAGTGAGACAGTTGCTGATTTTATATATACAGCTGCCTCCACAAAATGTGCATATGGCCAGCACGAGGGGACATAGCTTTAAATTGAGGGGTGATAGATATAGGACAGATGATAGAGGTAGGTTCTTTACTCAGAGAGTAGTAAGGGCGTGGAATGCCCTGCCTGCAAAAATAGTAGACTCGCCCACTTTAAGGGCATTTAAATGGTCATTGGATAAACATATGGATGATAATGGAATAGTTTAGGTTAGATGGGCTTCAGACCGGTTTCACAGGTCGGCGCAACATCGAGGGCCGAAGGGCCTATACTGCGCTGTTATGTTCTATGTTCTATGTATGAAGCACAACCTAACTCGCTTCCTGACCTCATGTAATGGTAGATGCCTTTTCTGGGATGGACCTTCTAATTAAGCTTCATTCCCTATTTTTTTGTAAAACCAATCCTTTAAGAATGAGTGTAGATAGTTTAAGTACAAACATTTGGCAGATCAAATATAATGTGGGGAAATGTGAAATGCACAACTTTGGCAAGAGTAGAAATGCAGAATATTATTTAAATGGAGAGAGATTGGAGAATTGAGTACAAATAGATCTTTTTTGACCTTGTACTTGATTCACAAAATATTAGCATGCAGGTCCAGCAAGTGATCAGGAAGGCGAAGGAACTGTTGGCCTCTATTGTAAGGTGAATGGGATACAAATATAGGGAAGTCTTGCCACAGCAGTGAGACCATACCTTGGGTACAGTTTCAGTCTCCTTACAAAAAGAGGGATATACTTTCATTGGAGATAGTTCAGAGAATGTATCAAGGCTGATTTCTAGGTTGAAGGGTTTGCCTTATAAGGAAAAGTAGAGACATTTAGTCAGTACTTATTGGGAGTGTAAAAGAATGAGAGGTGATCTTATTCAGCATGCAAGATCTTGAGGTTTGAGAGCACAGATGCTCAGAGGATATACTCATGGATAGAGGTTTACAGCACAGAACGAGACCATTTGGTCCATCATGTCTGCATCTGTCAACGAAGATCTGACTACACCGATACAATGTTCAAGCTTTTGTCCAAAATCTAGGGGGCTATAGAAATGCAAATGAATATCTAAATACTACAAAAATGTTATATGTTTCTGACTCAACCGCCATTTTTAAGGCAATGACTTCTGCACTCCTACCACCTTCGGAGCGAAAACATTTCTTTTGAACACTCTTATTAGCATTCTACTTCTAATCTTAAATCCATGCCCACTGATTATTGCTCCCTTACTAATCAAAAAAGTGCCTTCTTATCTATCTAATCTATGCTGCTCATAATCTTTACGTACTTATCAGGATCCCTCTCAACCTTTGCTGCTCCAAGGAAAATGTCCCAGCCTATCCTCAGAGCTCAGATCCTCCAGCCCAGGAGCATGCTGATAAATCTCCTCTACACTCTCTGCAGTGCAAACACACCCTTCCTACAATGTGGTGACCAGAACTGCGTGCAGTACTCCAGTTTTGGCCTAAGTGATGTTTTATACAGTTCCAACACAACCTCCCTGCTCTTATTACATGGCACCTTTTTGAATAGAAACATAGAAAATAGGTGCAGGGGTAGGCTATTTGGCCCTTTTGAGCCTGCACCACCATTCAATATGATCATGCAATCTCAGTATCTCATTCCCGCTTTCTCTTCATCCCCCTTAATCCCATTAGCCACAAGGGCCACGTCCAGCTCCTTACCCAAAAACTTCCTGTGGGAGACAGTTCCACAGGTTCACAATTTTCTGAGTGAAGAAATTCTTCTCAGTCCTCAATGGCTTACCCCTTACTCTTAGACTGTGACCCATAGTTCAGGGCTTCCCCAGCATCAGGAACATTCTCCCTGCATCTCGCCTGTCCAGTCCCATCAGGATTTTGTATGTTTCTAGGAGGTCCCACCTAATTCTTCTAAATTGCAGCGAGTATAGGCCCAGCTGACCCAGTCTTTGCTCATAAGTCAGTCTGACATGTCAGAATGCCTTTTGGAAATCCAAATACACTACATCTACCAGTCCCCCTTTATCAACTCTATTTATTATATCCTCAAAGAACTCTAGCAAGTTTGTCAAACATGATTTCCCTTTCACAAAATCATGTTGACTCTGTTTGGTTACATTTTGAAAAGTGTCCTGAAATTTCTTCCTTCATAACGGACTTTAGCATTTTCCCGATGACAGTTGTAAGTCTAACTGGATAGTAATATCCTGTTTTCTGTCTGTCTCCTTTCTTGAACATGCATATCACATGATCAGTTTTCTGATCCACTAGAACCCTCCTGGAATCCAGCACCTTCTGAGATATTTTGATTGTCTCATTATTGGTGCAGTCACTTCCCTTAAATTCTTTGGATACAGGCCATCACGTCCTAGCGCTGTCTGCCGTCAGTCCCTCTAGTTTATCAAATACTTATCCCTCATGATAGAGACTTTACAAGATCTTTCTTCTCGTTATCTCCTTGCTTATCTATTATCTTTTTGATGCTTATAGTGTGCTCCACCATGAAGACTGTTGTAAAATATTGGTTTAAATTATTTGCCACTTCCCTGTACCCAGTTATCAATTGCCAAGTCACATTCTTCAAGGACCCTACATTTATCTCAGCCGCTCTGTCTCTTTTTACTTTCATTTAAATTTTATCCCTTTTCTTATCTATTAGATTAAAATAAAAGACCATACCTTGTCCCACCTTTTAATGTTGCTTGTGCTCCTCAGACAAGCCCAACACACCAAAGCCCGCACTTTGACCTCACAGCTGAGGCTAAGCCACAGTCACATTTTCTAACATCGCTCTCTCGCTCTGTTGTAGTTCGAGGAGGAGGGAGGGAAACACTACAGTGATGTGATGTTCAGGGCTTCACTGTTCTTTAACACTTGGTCCCTCACTGATTCCATTTTCATTTGTGATGAGCCACCGTCTAGTGAAAAAAACATTGTAGAAGCCTTTATAGATTAATGGCATTAGACAGACTTTAAGAATGATTAAAGAATGATAAAAAGAAATAGTAAAGAGGCAGCAAGCAGCTAAGCAGTTACACAAAAACAGATAAGAAAAATTCTACAATAATTTGGATAAATGTGAGATTTTGCATTTTGGTAAAACAAACTAGGACAGGACTTGTATAATTAAAGTAGGGCCTTGGGTAGTGTTGTAGAACAGAAGGACCTTGGGGTTCAGGTACATAATTCTTTGAAATTTACATCACACGTAGACAGGATGGTTAAGAAAGCATTTAGCACGCTTGCCTTCATTACTCAGATCTTTAAGAATAGGAGTTGGGAAATCATATTGAGGTTGTACAGGACATTGGTGAGGCCTCTTCTGGCGTACTGTGTCTGGTTCTGGTTGCCCTGTTATAGGAAGGATGTTAATAGATTGGAGAGGGTTCAGAAGAGAATTACTGGGATGTTGCCTGGAATGGAGAGTTTGAGTAATAAGGAGAGGCTGGATAGGCTGGGATTTTTTTCACTAGAGTGTAAGAGGCTGAGGGATGACCTTTAGAGAGGTTTATAAATTATGAGGGGTATAAATAAAGTGAATGGCACACGTCTTTTCCCTAGTCTGGGGGATTTCAAGACTAGGGGTCTTATTTTTAAGGCGAGAGAAGAAAGATTTAAAAAAAAAACATGGGGGCAGTCTGTTTTACACAATGGTTCATGTGTGGAATGAACTTCCAGAGGAAGTAGTGGTTGCAGGTACAGTTAGAACATTTAAAAGACATTTAGATAACTACATGAATAAGAAATGTTTGGAGGGATTTGAGCCACGCACAGGCATGTGGGGCTAGTTTAATTTGGGATTATGGTTGACATGGACTGGTTGGACCAAAGGGTCTGTTTCTGTGCTGTATGACTCTATAACAGGCAATGTGTAGGTAAAATTGGTATTGGCCCTCTGGAGGGTGAGGGTGAGTCTGAGGAATTGAGAATGGAAAGCAAGGAAGAAGTAGAGGCTTTGAATGAGTACTTTGGGATGAACTTCATGGGAAAACTTCCCAAAAGGTATTTGGAAACAAGAAGTGACAATGGCCTATACCCTAGGCAGTATGGATTGTTGATGCATTTTGTTACATCTTCCAAAATTTCTTAGATGCTGGAAGGATTGCAGCAGATTGGAAATCAGCTAATGTAACACATTTATTCAAGAATGGAGGGAGGCAGAAGCAGGAAACTGTAGGCCA